CCATGAAATTAAAGCACAGAAAGCGAAGATGGGAAATGTTGAAGGCAGTGATGTCCTCTTCTTCCAGATAGCAAGGGCTGTGGTCTGAAAGTTTTGTCCACTTTAAAGCTCACGTTGTAAGTTAACTGCCATTATAACAGTATTAAGAAGTGCATCCAGGCATGGTGGTGCATGCCTGTAATACCAGCACTCAGGAGACACAGGCAGGAGGATCTCCACAAGTTTTAGGCTAGCCTGGGCTACATAGCTAGACCCTGTCTCAAAAAAACCAACCAACCAGCAAACAAACAAACCAAAACCTCCCTTCCCCCCGAAAAAGAAGTGAAACTTCGAGGTCAGTAGGCCTTGAGGGTTCTTTCCTCAATGGGGGATTAATGCCATCATTTAAAAGGTGAGTTTGGGACCCTTTTTCTCTCTTGGCCCTTCTGCCTTCTGCCACATTGAAGCAGCTTCAAGGCCTTCTATGGACCCCAGCACCTTGATCTTGGAACTTGTCATCTTCTAGAGTTGGGAGCTAATAAATTTGCATTTGTTATAAGCAACCCAGTCACAAAATGGACCAAGACACCAAGGTTCCGCACTTTATCTAACCACTGTGAACACTATTATTCACAATGTGTCAAAAGCGTAACTAAGACAATTGTAAACATCATTCAACAGTGAAAGGAACTGGTGAGTGTCAGGTAAAAGGGCAGAAGACCAAGACCAGACCAGGGCACAACAAGCCTTTATCAGGGGAATAGATCTGCCGGGCTGTCTCTGAACAAAGGAGAGACAAAAGCAATATGGCCGGGGCAGGGAGAGTCTTTTCTAGAGACTGGGGTGGGGTGTGTAGGGGCTGAGGCGGGGTTGAGTGCGGTAGTGACTAGGGAATGGAGGAGCCGGTGACATCACTAGGTGGTAGGAGGTGAGTGAGTATTAGGTTACTTTCTAGGCGGGAACAGGGGCATGCTGGGAAGAAGGGTTTGTTCTTTGGTGGGAGCAACCATCTTGGCATGACATCACACAGGGGAGGGGGCAAGGCACCATAGGAAGAGGGCAGCTACTATATATAATAGCTGCTGAGGTGGTGGGAGACCTATCAGTGAGGGCCCCTGGGAGAAGAGGTAGGTTCCACAGCTGGACTAGGGAGACCTTAAGGTGAGCTGGAAACATTGTGGTCAGTCCCAACAAGTAAGGAAATGAATGGTCAGAGAGAAGGTGGGCGTGGTGGTGCGCGGTACAATCCTTGCACTCACTCTGAGGAGGATAGTACATTCCAGGCCAGAGTGGACTATATGGTGAGGAGAGAGGGGAGAGAGTGGAAGAGAGAGAAGCAGAGGAGGGAGGAGGGCAGAGGTTTAAAGAACACAGGAGCCAATCTGAGGGTCACTTTAACAGTCAAAGGTGAAACAACTTAAGCAAGAAAAGGATAGTGAATTTTTACATCCAACAAAATAAATACCAGTAAGTCCATCCAAAATAACTAAATAAACGGGGGGAGCTCTTCCTAAAAATAGAGTTCTGTTTTGTTTTTGTTTTGTTTTTTGGTACCGGGGATCAAACTCAGGACCTTGCACTTGCAAGGCAGGCACGGTGCCGCTGAGCTAAATCCCTAGCCCAAAAAGTAGAGTTCTAAGTAACCAGTGTATTGGTTTTTATTTTTTAAGACAGGGCCTCCCTATGTAATTACACTGGTCTTGAACTCACTATGTAGCATCCAACTTGTGGTGATCCTCCTGCCTCAGCCTCCCAAGTGCTGGGATTACAGACACACCACCACACTGGGCTTACACTGTGTTCTTGACAGAGTCATGACATAGTCAGAGCCCACCGAAGGGATAAAAGAAACTTCTGGGCCCTTCTCCTGTTACTCATCAGAAGCATGATTTGTGTTTTCTTCTGAGGCAGTCAAGGACTTAAAAAGTTGTTTTTGTGGGCCGGGGATTTAGCTCAGTGGTTCCACTGCCTGCCTTGCAAGCACAAGGACCTGAGTTCGATCCCCGATACCAAAAAAAAAAAAAAAGTTGTTTTTGCTAACTTTTCACTTGGGCCTAGAAGTGCCCAATAGGTAACTAAAAGTAGAGCAAAGCCTGACCTTCGTTTTATAACTCTGGTCAAATCTTTCTTAGCCGTGCACATAGGCACAGCAGTCAATTAGGGAGTGTCTGTCTAAAAGCTGGTAAAACCAGGTACCTAGCCTCATTACCCTTCACCATTCACAATTTCTTGATTATAATAATTGTACTATGCTTATGTAAGATGGTAACATTAGGGAAAACTAGATGAGGTATATAAGGAAATTGGGCTCACTTTGTAAACTTTTTGAAGATGTATGATCAGTTCAAAATGAAAAAGAAGCCAGCGCCATGGTGCACACCTGTAATCACCTGGGTGGGCTTAGGCAGGAGGTCTGCAAGTTCAAGGTCAACCTGGGAAACTTAGTGAGTCCTTGTCTCAAAATAAAAAATAAAAAGGGCTGGGAATGTCTCTCAGTAGCAAAGTACTTGGCTACTACTATTTCCGAGGCATAGGTTCAATCCCCAGTACTGAAAAAGTTAAAAGAATAAATAAAACTTTGAATATGAAGCTCAAGCTCTTGCACTTCTGCCTTCGGTGTTAACTAACCCTAATGCTGTATTTTGAATCTAGGCCAAAATTACTATTTTGCAGTCATGCTAACAAAATGTTCACGGAATAGAAACCTGTGATTTAATGGCTCCTTTTGATACAGTTGTGGGTGAGAAATACTACACTCTCTGTGTTTGCCAGAGACTCACCTTCAACAGTTCTGCATTTATGCAGGTGTCATGGCTGAGTCTAGCTGTCTCCCCAAAGCCTCATGAGGTCATGGGTGGGGCCTTCTCAGAGGTGGCTGGATAAGAGTGTGATACTGGGATGATTCCTGGTGCAAGGGTGGTAGGATTAAGGCTGTGAATGTCACCTGCCCTAAATAGTCTGGGTAAGATAAAAGGGGCAGGAAGATGCCTTAAGGTCTCTTGTTGCTTTTGCTGTCTTCCACCACCATGAACTGTTGCCCCTCTGCCATGTGCCACCCTGCCTTGGAGCCAGCCAATTATGGACTGAAACCTCTACAAACTGTGAGCCAAATAAACCTTTCCTCCTTTAACTTTGGGTGTTGGGTATTTTGTCTCAGCAATGAGAGAAGTGACTAAGACAGCAGGACACAGAGAAACTCTTTCCAAGTCTCTACTTTGCCACTGATTGTTTTTTTTCAGAGAAACATGTGACTAGAAAATAATCAAGTTTCGGCCCTCCACATTTCTTCAGGTATACTTTTTTTTTTTTTTTTTGGTACCGGAGATTGAACTCGGGTCCTTGCGCTTGCGCAGCAGGCAGCGAAACCACTGAGCTAAATCCCCGGCCCCCTTCAGGTATTCTTTTTAACAGCTGTAACAGTAAAAATTGAAATTAGATTTTGTTTAAATGCCCTTACCTATAAAAAGAGTAAGAACTAACACTAAATAAATTAGCAAAATGTTAAAGCTGTGAGCACAAACTCTGAGTTTTATTTAATTGCAAGGGATGCATCCTGTGTACACTTTCTCTCTTCCAAATTCTTTAACTGCTAAAATTGCCCTTCCGGAGACTATAAACATTGTAACATGTATTTAATTAGTAATCTATTAAAATTACCTAGGAAGCAATACATTTCTACTGAGCCTTTTGAAATGATGCTTTGAAAGTTTATTTACAATAATTGAAAGCAGATGGTTCTGTAAAACACACAGGTAATTACAGGCTTCTTAAATTCACAACATAATGTATTTCAACATTTAAGTAGAAGACCATTTCCTTCAAAAGTAACTTTCCACTACTTTCTCATAAAAATATAAAAAAAAATCTGTACCTTTAAGAACCTATATTTGACCCAAATCAAGGTCATTCTACAAACATACTTCTTTCCAAAAAGTTTGAAAGGCATCACAGAATAATGTGATGTTAAACCAATCTCACAGCAATATTTTACTTTTAAGAAACACTGTGCAGTTTCCTTTTTCACATTTCATGTCAGATTTCAACAGCGTATATACTATATAAACACTGATTAACCCTACTTGTTCATTTATGCAGTGGACTTGTCATATATGACCAGTTACCATATAAACTGTCCTACCCTAATTGTAAAAATGGCAAAAGGCAATCTTTATGAAAGCTTCAAAAATCTTTTTAATAAAGGCAACCAACAATGTCCTAACTTTCTATAAAAAGTACCTTTCTTCCTCCTTTTTCTTCTCTTGAATTGTACCTTTTACAGCATGTTAAGACACAAAGATATTTAGAGTGCTTTTACTAAATTAGCCTTTTACATGGCTGCTTTCTTTTCTGATATGCTGAATTTTTACTAAGTTACCAAGACTAGATTCCTTAGCTTCAGATTTTTTTTGTCCCTATTTAGGTTGCTCTAGAATGATTTTCCTCAGAAAAGGGTAACTCTAAGAATTTAAGGAACCAGAAGGAAATGAATGACGAAACATAACAACTTGGAAATTGTAACATTCAAAAGTTATAAATATATTAATTCATTTTTTGAACTCTTATTCAGGACAAATAGAATAATTTTCTGAACATCAACATAAAAATAGAGTACATTTCTTAACAGTAGGAAAACTCCCAAGCTTACAGTAACGATGTACTAAATCTTACATAATAACACAGCCAGATATTCTGATGATTTATCCTGAAAACCTGTCCAACACATACCATTATCATATAATAAAGCAAGGCATTCATTTAACAGGGAGAAAATATAATGCTCATCACAAAAACAGATTTGCTGGATTTTCTTTCTTTTTTTTTTGAGATAGGGCCTCACTTGTCAGATTGGCCTTGAACTTACTACGTAGCCCAGGCTGGCCTCAAATTCATGGCAATCCTCCTGCCTCAGCCTCCCAAGTACCGGGATTACAGGCATGTGCCACCATTCCTGGCAATTTGCTAGATTTTAGTTTTAAATTCTAGAGATACATTTTATTTATTTATTTATTTATTATTTTTTATTTTTTTGGTACTGGAGATTGAACTCTGGTCCTTGCACTTGCACAGCAGGCGGTGAAACCACTGAGCTAAATCCCTGGCCATAGAGATACATTTTAAAGATTTAAAAAAAAGAAAAACAAGATTCACCTCCAAATAAAACTCTTTCTATATATAACTGATTATTATCTTTATGCTCTTACAATGTGAAACACTTAGAAACTTCTGAACTCTAGAAATTCTGAACAGTTAATCTATTTGGCTTTAACACTGTCTGCATTCTCTTCTGAGAATCACGTTGGTGTTTTCGGGTCCCTGGTCCAATATGGATGAGAAATTCTATTTCTTCTTCTTCTTCTTCGGTGGCTCATCCTCAGAGCTGCTCTCTGTGCTACTGCTGCTGCTGGGAGAGCTGGAGCCCGAGTCTGAGTCCGAGGAGGAGGAGGAGGAGGTTGAGGAGGAGGCTGAGGACAACGAGCTGGAGGAGCTCTCGTCGGAGTCACTGTCCTCGGAGGAGGAGGAGGCAGATGTGTCTTCACTCCCCGATGAAGAGTCACTGGCTGAACTGTCACTGCTATCACTACTGGAACTAGTTACACTCTTGGACCTGTCAGACAATGAACATTGTACACATGGGAAGCTGGCATTTCATAGGATCTTTAAAAGCAACCTCACAGGACATCATCTGTGTATCCCCAGTGGCGGCTTGGGCTCACCTCACTGCTATAAGCCATGCCCATCCCTTTACAAGGTCTTGCTGCTTCAGCAAGCATGGAGTTCACTATCGCCTCTCAGCCTTGCGGCTAAGATCAAGTGAAGAATAGGGTCACAGTAAGTGTGTCTCCTGCATTATGCTTCAGAGTGGAAAAGATGACAATAAAGTTGCAGTGTAACAGTTAAAATTTATTTAAACCTCATGCAGGCTAACAAATGCTTCATGTTCTCTTTTCTTTCTTTCTTTTTTTTTGGTACCGGGGATCGAACTCAGGACCTTGCACTTGCGAGGCAGGTGGCGAAACCACTGAGCTAAACCCCTGGCCCCTCTTTTCTTTTTTTAAAAGTGGTACTGGGGACTGAACCTAGGGGTTTGCACAAGCTCTACTACTACCACTGAGCTACATCTTTGGCCCTTTGTAAAATTTTATTTATTTATATATATATATATTTAAAAATTTTTTTAAGTTTTTGAGACAAGGTCTCACTATATAGTTCAGGCTGGCCTTGAACTCACTATGTAGTCCAGGCTGGCTTCAAACTTGGGGCAATCCTCCTGCCTCAGCCTCCTGAGTGATGGGATTACAGGCATGCACCACCATGCCCAGCTTATAAAATTGTATTTTGAGGTAGGGTCCCACTAAGTTTCCGAGTCTGGCCTCAAACTTTCAATCCTGCTACCTCAGCCCTTCAAGCAGCTAGGATCACAGGTGTGCCCTACTATGCCCAAAATATTCTTTATTTTAACTTCTTCAGACCAGAAATGGCTGGCCAGCAATTCCTAACCAATCTAATAATAATTCCCTTTTTTTTTTTTTTTTTTGGTACCGGGGATCGAACTCGGGTCCATGCACTTGCACAGCAGGCGGCGAAACCACTGAGCTAAATCCCCGGCCCTTTAATAACAATTCCTATACACAAAAAATGAATAATAATAATAATAATAATAATAATAATTATTCCTGTTCTAAGCCAACTTCTATCTCCAAGCCTAAGGACTCTAGAAAGATGTGGAAAAAGGATAAATGGTCCCAATAAATTCCAGGCAAGGGAAAAGAAAAAAAGCACAAAATAAAACAATACTTAAGCATGAATGGCAAACAAGAGACTTCAAATACAAACTTTATAAGTATTATTTCAAAATCAGTGCTCCATCCCTCTAACCAGTATTACTAGTCCTCTGTAGAATATTCCCAAAGCCAGGCATACCTTTTTTTCTTGGTCTTTCTTTCTATATTAGTTTCTCCAATGCTGTCAACACAAGAGGAACAAAAGCTCCTGTTAATACAGTGATTATACCCAGCTCTGACAAAGCCTGCTATCTCCCAGACTGTTTTACTTTAGAGAAACACTGTCTTTTATAATCTACACCCCGAGCACAGTACTTTTTGCTATAACCAAGTGGCAAGTTTCCTGTTGTAGACAACTTAATCAGCACTTAAGCAAAAAATTTCATCAACCATAACTTAAAGGCCAGGTAAATTAGTAATTAAGATGGCTGAATGCACAAATTTAATCCTTTTAAAATCTGGAACTGAACTACTTACTAAACAATCACCCAAAGCAAATAAACACAATAGCTGTAATTTGAGTTCTCAGAGTCAATTTAATACTGCAAGACTATGTTCCCTTATTTGTGTGTGTGTGGCTACTAGAGACTGAACTCATGGCTTTCATTCTGATCTATATCTCCAACTCTTTTTAAATGTTTTAAATTTTGAGATAAGGTCTTGCTGAGTGACTAAATTGCCCTAGGTGGGCTGGGACATGCAATCTTCCTGCCTTTGCCTCCCAGACTGCTAGCATTACAGTCTTACACCACCACACCCGATCCTCTTACATTATTTATAAAGAAGAAAATCTAGTGAATTTGAATGAAATGTACAGAAGGCTTGTTGCTATATTTCTTTCTTTCTTTTTTTTTTTTTTTTTTTGGTACCGGGGATTGAACTCGGGTCCTGGCGCTTGAACAGCAGGCAACGAAAGCACTGAGCTAAATGCCCGGCCCATGTTGCTATATTTCTGCCAATAAACGTGTATACCAATCAGGTTTTCAAATTACAGACTTTTTTTTTTGAGACAGGTTCTCACTATGTAGTTCAGGCTGGCCTTAAACTCAAGGGGATCTTCCTGCCTCAGCCTCTTGAGTGCTGGGATTACAGATGTACATCACCACATCTGGCTTCAAATTACAGACTTACTTCTAACACTATCAATATTTCACTGTCCTATAAATATAACATTTCTATATTCTAAACTTCTATGTTTTTGTTTTTGTTTTTTCTGGTACCAGAGATCGAACTCAGGTCCTTGTGCTTGCACAGCAGGCAGCGAAACCACTGAGCTAAATCCCCAGCCCATGTATTTTCTATATAATGTTTCCATCCTTATTTCCTGAGTCTTTGCAAATAAATACTTATATAACACTGTCTTACATAATGAAGTTACTTACTGAAAACAAGTGGTTAAAAGTATATTTATTAAATCACACCATAAGAATTTGTGATCCTTGGGCTGGGAATTTAGCTCAGTGGCACCACCGCCTGCCTTGCAACCACAAGGTCCTGAGTTCAATACCCAGTAGCAAGAGAAAAAAGAAAAGAATTTGTGATCCTTGAAATTTATACATATCCACTGTTTTATTATTAAACCTAAATCGGCAGTCTTTATTCAACAGAGCCAAGGCTAAAACTTACACAGTTCTATACACACCCACACACACACACACACACACACACTTATATATATGTGTGTGTATATATATATTGGAGGGGGGGGTACCAGGATCAAACTTGGGACCTTGTGCTTGAGAGGCAGGTGGCGGAACCACTGAGCTACATCCCTCGCAGTTCTATATATTTTTAAACTAAGATACTTGTGTGATACAACTAGGAAAATAAATGTTGGAATGACGTTTTTTTGTTGTTGTTAGACAAGGTGTTGCTATGTAGTTCAGGCTGACCTTGAACTCACTAGGTAGCCCGAATGGCCTTGAACTTGCAGTGATCCTCCTGCCTCAGCCTCCCAAGGGCTGGGATTATAGGTGTGCACTACTATCATGCCCACACTGGAATGACATTTTTTATAACTCTTATATTTTATTTCAGACAGTGGTCTTCAAAATTTTTTGTGCTTACATTTCTAAAAATTTTTTTTTGGTAATGGGGATCAAACTCAGGACCTCGTGCTTTTAAGGCAGGCAGCAGCACCACTGAGCTAAATCCCCAGCCCAAAAAATTTTTGGAGATCTCATATGGTAGAATTTTTATCCTAAATTTGAACATTTGCAAAGCATGCATTTTATACATACTGATTGTGACTGTGTGTGTGTGTGTGTGTGTGTGTGTGTGTGTGTGTGTGTTGTGGGGCTGGGGATTGAACCCAGGGCATGGTGTGTGCCAGGCAAAGACTGAGTTACACCCTCAGCCCATATTAATGTTCTTTTTTTTTCTTAATTATTTTATTTATTGGTGCTGGGGACTGAGCCCAAGCCCTTCTATTTTTTAGACAAGGTCCTGGCTAAGTCGCTAATTTGCCCAAGCTGTGCTTGAACTTGTGATTCCCCTGCCTGCCTCTCAGCCTGCTGGGATTACAGGAGTGCACCCAATGCCCAGCTGCCCCCAGTGATGTCTTTGTTTTTTGTTTTTTTGGTACCGGGACCTTGCGCTTGCAAGGCAGGCGCCAGAACCACTGAGCTAAATCCCCGGCCCCCACACTGATGTCTTAAAAGGAAAATTGCTGTATCACTTTCATTATCATATCTGACAGAAACTAAGTGCCACAATGATTAGATATCTACCTTCACTCACTTAACATATATAAACAAGTTTATCTTCAACAGCTGGTACTTTTACACTATCCTTTCTCTTCTCTTTACTTTCCCCATACAATGTATCCTAATATATATATTTTTTTGGTACCAGGGATCAAACTTGGGTCCTTGCACTTGCGAGGCAGGCGGCGGAACCACTGAGCTAAATCCCTGGCTCCTAATACATTTTTATACATGAAAATTTAAGTGATCACTTGTGCTGTTTCTTTGCAATAAAATACAGACATAACTAGAAATTTTACCTTTCCATTACCTGTAATTATATGGCTTTAAAAGTATTTTAAAGTTCCAAATTGAGTTATTACTAACACACAATTGATTAAAACAATGAGAAAATATATCATAAATCTGACTATTACAAATAATTTTATTAGAAATGCACTTCTTGGGGGGGGTGCAGGGGATCGAACTCTGGACCTTGTGCTTGTGAGGCAGGCGGCAGAGCCACTGAGCTAAATCTCCGGCCCAGAAATGCATTTTCTTAAGAAGAAGGGTTTTTTCCTAGTTTATGTAGCCATCAACACATTTTTTTTTCTTTTTTTTTTTATTACTCAAAAAAGCGTTCCCATCCTCGGCTACATAGTGAGTTCAAGGTCAGCCTGAACTGCATGGTGAGACCCTGTCAAAAAAACCCAAAAAACTTTCCTTTTTATTTAGCTTTCTGACTCTGTGCTTACACCTTCAACACTTCACACTGATATTTGCTCAACAGTAAGGACAGCATGCTGGTGGATCTTGTTGGGAACTCGTGGAGGAAAACAACCACCACAGGCCCAGCTGACGCGCTGCTTTCGTCTTGGACAATCTACGAACTGGAGGTCTGCAGCGTGAGCCCCTCAACACCTGCGCACCCGCGTACACCACGGGCAGACTCCATGCTTTCCCCATCTCCTTGGCGGAAGGATAAACAAGATCACCAGGGCCTGGGATGTCGCCCTCTTTCCAGAGCACTGTGCGCCGAAGGAAGGCCTTAAGAGGCCAGGTGTGAGACACTAACCCTGGCAGAGCTGACTGTTTACTGTAAGAATGTAGCAAGACTCAGCAACAATGCAATTCCTATTTTTAATTTTTATAGATTCAACCCTAACAAACCTTTACTTCAGTAGGAAGATGAAAATAAAGTTTAGTTAAAAATTATCACATAATTCTTTGAATTCCTTCCATTTATATTCCACGAGTTACATAATAATCAGTGTGTGTGTGTGTGTGTGTGTGTGTGTATGAATGTGTACATATATAATTTATAAATATACATATATTCCCCCCCAGTGCTGGAGACTTAACCCAGTGGCTCACCCATGCTAATCAGGCAGGCAGTTTCCTACTAAGCTCCCTCCCCAGGCCACCTCTGAAATACATTTTTTAGACTGACAATTTAATCCATCTTCAATTTTAAGGGGAAGAAAACAACATACAAAAGAATTTGCTTCTATTTATGGCCATTCACATTCTCGGTACAGTGTTTTTTGTTTTGGGGGGGGGGATTTTTAGACAGAGTCATGTCATGTAGTTGAGGCTGGCTTTGAACTTGCTATGTGATCCAGGCTGACCTTGAACTTACAGTGATCCTCCTGCCTCAGCCTTCCAAGTGCTGGGATTACAGGTGTGTGCTACCATGCCTGGCTTCCCTTTCTCAGTATGAATATCAGTATTTTGAAAGACTTTCTCCATTCTTACATGAAATACTATATCGAGGTATGATTAGGATGACTAAGAAGTATGCTTTCTTTAAATTTCTTTTGTGAAATTGTTGTAAAAAACAAAGTAGAAAGGAGAACCAAAAGGCAAGTCCTCATTCAGATTTGCTTTTGGAAAAAATGAACATGAATGCTGGTGATCTAGAATCGGTTATTTATCTCTGGATGACCCCTGAAGAGCTTTCGTGTGCACAGACTGGAAGACTGCGGGCTGGGCAGCATTTGCCGTACTATTGTAGAGCTAAAGTCCTCACGAAGATGCTGCTTCTCATCTGTAACACTAAGCAGACTTGACACCTTCCCACTGCAGCTTCTCTAAAACAGATACTGATTTCATAGGCATTTGAAAAGGTTTAGGCAAAGGATATAAAAGACTGCATAATTTTCCAGTCTCGCTCCCATTGAGTTTTCCTTCTAGGAAGTAACAACTATTATCAGGAACACCTGGACCTTTGGGCTGGTCCCAACCAAGTCCACAACTGTGGATCCACACCTTGGCTCAGCCACTGCAAACGTGGAGCTGGCTCTGCATTGTTTCCCCTCTCCTGGGCAGCAGAAATGCCAGCCAAACAACGGACCCGGTATTGGGCAAGGCAAAAGTCTGGAATGGGGATTCCATATGGCTGACTGGAGACAGAGTCACATCATAGAAGCTGAAGAAAGATCCACTGAGAAAGAAGGATCTGGAAGATACAACATGGCCTAGTAGAGGAAGAGCGTTGTTGGAGAGACTCAAAGAACACCAACAAGAAACACAGAGAGGTGGAGAATATCATAAAAGGAAAGAGACATTAACGGAACACAATGTGGTAACCATGTCTGAATTCTGCTTTGAAGATTCCAACCCAAAGAACACTGCTTAGAGACAAACACAGAACATTCCTAAAGGAAGAGAGAAGACTGAGTTTCGGTGGCAGTTGGAACCTTCATGGAAAACAAGGGGTGCTGCTCCCAGACTGGCCTTCCACAGTCAGCAGCTGGTGAGTGGCCGTGGTCCAGGGCCCACCACCACAAGCGCTGGCAGGACGCCAGCGTGGGGAAGGGCTCAGCAGTCCAGCCTGGGCCGCAGGGCAGCCTCTTGGCTACAAGCCACACTCCACACAGTCAAGTTCCCAGCGTGGATGAGGGCAGGGCAGCCACGGAAACAGCTGGAGGTTGAGAGCAGGCTGGAGGGAGTCTGCTGAGGGGCTGGAGCTTGTGAGCACGGATCCAGCTCGTGTGGTCCGAGGCCAGGGTCAGCCTGAGTTACCCAGGATGACTGGAAGGTCACACTGGCACCTGTCCCGTTGTATGTGGTTCTCTGCACCCAGCACCATTGGGGTGGGGGCTGCCACCTCAAACTTCCAGCAAGACCAGAATCACATGTTGGCCTGAGCTCTGCTCCTGACCTAGGCTATGGCAAACAGCCACATGTCCAAAACAATAGAAAACTTCCTATTTATTTATTTATTTATTTATTTATTTTTGCTGTTTTCCTCTTTCTGGTCACCTCCCCCCTTTTTGTTTGTTTTTGTTTTTTGAGACAGGGTTACTCTATGTAGCTCAGGATGGCCTCAAACTCAGTGATCCTCCTGCCTCAGCCTCCTGAGTGCTGGAATTACAGCTGCGCACCACTATGCCTGGCTCACCCAACTTTTATTGCATTATTTGCCCCTTTAAGCATGTGTGTGTGTGTTTCTCTTTCTCTTGCCCTTTTCTTCCAATGTAGTTTAGAGAGGTTAAGAGAATTCTCCCTTGTCCCTTTTTATTTCTACTTTTACTTTGACTTCTTTCTCCTCTTTCTCATCCTTGCTCTATTTTTCTTTTCTTCTACCCTCTCTTCATCTGTCTACCTTTAACTTTTTATCTAATATTTATATTAGCCATAGAATTCTTTCTCATTTCTGTATCTCACTACTGATTTTACACCCATTTTTCCCTGTTATCGCCTCTAAATATATAGCATACCTCTACCACCATTAGGATCCTTTGCCCTCCCACTATTTCCTTCTTCCCAAACCACAAAGCAGAAGAATTTTTTAAAAAACAAAACTTTTGGCCTCAGATTTAGCTCAGTGGTGCTGCCGCCTGCCTCACAAGCACAAGGTCCTGAGTTCAATCCCCAGTACCAAAAAAACAAAACAAACCAAAAAGTGTGTGTGTGTGCGTGTATATAACTAAATAAATTTCTACTGGGTTAAATACTCAAATAAAAATGAATAAAGACGTGTTTTTATGTACATGTACCAACTCTCCATGATGAATGAAATAATTATGTACGGCAAATGTGTACTAATAAAAATTTTTAAAGAAATGAAATTTTTAAAAACCTATTCTCAATCATTTACATTTCCAAGAAAATTTCACTTTTTAAAAATTTTGTTCTCTCTTTATTTCTTTCTTGGTGTGTATATGTATGTAGTCCTGGATGCTGAACCCAGGGCCTTCACACTCAGCTATATCCCTAGCTCTTTTTACTTTTTTATGATGAGACAGGGTCTCATTAAGTTGTTAATAAGTTGACCAGGTTGGGCTCCAACTTCTAATCCTCCAGTCCCAGCCTCCCAGAATGACAGGGATGGTCACACCACACTCAGTTTTTCCTTCTTTTCTTTCTTTCTTTTTTGAGACAGAGTCTCGCTGGTCTTGAACTCACTGTCACCCAGGCTGGCCTGGAACGCGAAATCATCCTGCCACAGGCGGGTACTACACGCCTGGCTTCTTCTTTTCATTAACATGAATCCTAGCATATCATATAAACTACTCTCTACGTTATCTACGTACCCTTACTGTATCTTGGATAGGTTTTTTTTGGTTCCTTTTCTTTGAGACAGGCTCTCACCATGGAGCCTGGGCTGACCTCAAGTTTGCAGGGATCCTGCAGCCTCAGCCTCCTGAGTGCTGGGATTACGGCCTGTGCCACCACACCCAGCTGGTTTTCTGGATCTGCCTGTACCATCTAGCCCAGTGTTCTATGCTGTTTCACTGACCGTTGAGGGAATAAAATAAAATGATTAAGAGCGCTGACCCTAGGGGCAGTTTGGTTGGTTTCACACTTAGCTTTTCCTCTTGCCAGTTATGTGACACTGAGCAAGTTACTGACCCTTTCTGTGCCTCACTTCTTGCACATGCCAGCTAAGGATAAAAACAGCATCTAGCTCAGTAATGCACTGTCTATCTGAGGTTTAACTAAGCTCCGACTTGAAAGAAATGAGTATAGTGCCCGGCTCATAGTACGCATTCACTAAGCACTAGCTAGTATTACAATTAAAATCTGGAGAACGGCCACAAGACGTGTAGTACCTCAAGAAGGTCTACGGACATATATAACAAACATTCCTTTGGATACCACATGTAAACCTACCTTTGCTGTAATAATAACCTGTTTTCTTTCTCCTTTAAGGCTTTCTTTAGTTCTGCTGTTCTTGATGGCCTATGTAGGTATTTCCTTTTTCCAGTGCATTCATAAGTCCAATGTCCAAATTCCAAGCATTTCTGACACCTCACATGTTGCTTATTGGCTTCACTACAGAGGGAAAAAATGCAAAATAAGCCTTAAAATTTGCCTTATAGCACTTCCTCCCCTGAAAAGCATAAACAGTATCAAGTGTAAAACAATGTTTAATTTTTATCACAAAGGGCGTACAAGGCAGTATAGTAGGTGGCTCACAACGTGGTCCACGGGAAAACAAAAAAACAATCCGTGGTCCTTGCAGTTAAAACAGAACTGAGTTCAACTCTTGCCGGAAACGGTAACACAAGCTATAATCCCAGAGCTCAGGAGGCCGAGGCAGGAGGATCTGGAGTTTGAGACCAGCCTGGGCTAAATAGTGTGTTCAAGACCAGCCTGGGCTAAATAGTGTGTTCAAGACCAGCCCGGACTACATAGGAAGACCGTGTCTCAAACCAGAAAGAAGAAACAAACGATCAGAAAAAAGTATTGGTTCTTCAATTTTATTTCAGTAATGACGGACGAGGTGACTCACACGACACTTTTTTCCGGTGTGTGTGGTACTGGAGATTGAACCCAGGGCCTTGCACTGAACTTGTCCCCAGCCTTTTAAATTTTGGGACAAGGTCTCATTAAATTGGTAAATTGCAAAGTTGGGCTCGAATTTGTGATCCTCCTGTGTCAGCCTTCGAGAGTGCAAGGATGAATATTTAGACTGAATAGTTTAAACAATCTCCTTGGGGAATCAGAGAATCAATGTGAGGATAAAGAATAACCAAGCCAACCTGTGGAAGCAGACGGCACTCTTGTGCTAGAGGTGCATGGCCTTCTCAAGAGAGTACTACTTATTACACCTGGGGAGAGAAGGGATTTTTTTTTTTTTTTTTTTTTTTTT